TCACGTTTTTTTTTGTCATGATTCACTTTGTGCTGTTTTCATGTAAACAACTTTATGTTTTTGTCAATATTTGAGACGCTTTGTCGTTTTTGTAACAAAAGAATAATTTTTATTGGGATTAAATGTTATTATAGAAAGATGGTTGATTTCACTAACGAAATGTAGTTGAGATTTTTTTTACTAAAAAAAATAGTTAAGGAGATTTTTCACAATCCCAAATAGTATATGAGATTTTTTTTATTAAAAACCCTTTTTTAAATGGATTTTGGTCTCTTTGCTTTGGTGACTAATGTCAGTATTAAATGAGGTTTGATTTTAGTTTTTTTTTTTTTTTAAGTTGATTATCCATTGCTGATAATCGCAATCCCTCCGTCTAAGTTGATTAAGGGGCTGATTGGGTAAACAACTTTCAAGGCTGTAAAAACTTTTTTATGTTTTTAATTAAAGTCTTTTTATTTACAGTCAAGATTTAACTCTAACAATCCTAAAAGTCTCTTTAATTCTCTCACAACCTAAATAACTACTTTTGCTCTTGTTACGTTTGCTTTAAAAAAGCAACTAATTTTAGACTTTTATTTTATTTTAAAATCATAGCCTATTATTAAAAGTAAAAGTTTTCACTTAAAATAAAAGTCTACAGTCAAAAATTATAAAAGTTTTTCCAATCACCCCCTAAGTGGTTTGGCTAAATTCTAATTTGAGCTAGCAAGCGAAAAGGTAATTTCGCCTTGCTCGTCAACCCAATCAATAATCAAATCCAATTAAGTCACAATATCAATAGGAGTGATAGGAACATATTTAAATAAAAAGAGATGATTTCTCGAATTCACAAAGGAAAATCTAGACTCTGAAAATAAGGAATGAACATACTTTGATCACTAGGACCATTAAACATAGTAAGAAAACCTAATGAAGTAGAATGAGGAAGCAATTTAATGAACTTAGATGAACAAAACCTTGATACAAGCACCTTCTTAGTATCCTTGGAAGTCGCAATAAGTGTGATGAGCGACATAGATCTACAGTAAGGGGGAAACCAAGGGGAGATTAAACTCGAGTCTAAGGAGAACATCTTCTCGAATTCCCAATCCGATTCCAACGCGTTCTTGATCCTCCAAAAGTGTTGTATACCATTATTATCTGCTGTCATATCCGTAACCCACACACGATCATTTAGACTGCACATACCAATTGCTTCAAGACAGGACGCTTGGGAAAGAATCCTATTTGTAATGACTTGAAACATCTTCGTGTGAAGATTGTAAGCAAGAATCGTTTGCTGATCAGTGAGCCAATAAAGCCATCCATCTGCAAATATTGGCCCTTCGTCTGAGAATAGCCTATGTGGCGTATCTCTCACGTATCTCCATTCCTTGACCTCAAAATCGAAAACCTCGCACGATGACGCGTTCTGGTTCCCTTTGTTATGTAACCATACTAGTTTGTATGTTCCTGTAACATTGTCTTTCCCAAATCCTGGGAAAGGGAACACCTTTGACGCTGGCTTCTGAATCTTGTTTAAATATAGTCGCTGGAACCTTGAAAGAGGTAGGGTTTGAGACCGTCCTATCGCTGGGTTGGTCACAATAATTGGATTTGTAATGTTTTCCTCGTCAAATAGGCAGACAAGCCCGTCACAACTGCCTGAAACTCTGACACATTCCTCGTTTTGTGGTGGTTGAATGTGATAAGCAGGGCCTTGTTCGACTAGACAAGTAGTCGAAGACCACTCCAAACTCATAGTGTTTAGAGTAAGTTTAGTTAGGTTTGTCTCACCATAGAGACAGAGAAATTTGGGTTCTTGGGTTTTCTGATACAACATGTATCTCTCCTTGAAATACTTGGACTTTACTTTATGCCTCCAGTGTTTAGACAAGACTTGGAATCTAACTAGGGATTTCACCGGAAGCTTCAACATAATTTCTTCTAACACATCGTTGTCAATGAGTGTTGCTCTTCTTCTTTGGCTGCTGCTTGCTCTTTTAGTTCTCTTCCATGATGCATCATCATATTCATAATCTCTTCTCTTTTGTCTCCAACTTTGCATCGTCATAAACGCTATGTCTTTCT